CCGAACTAAAAGGGGTCGGAGCGGAGGGGCGCGCTGGCTGGTGGGTGGGGTGGGGGGAGGGGGTGTGCCGTGCCGAAATAAAGAGGTCGGGGCGGAGGGGTGTGCCGTGCCGAAATAGAGCGGTCGGGACGGAGGGACGCACTGGCTGGTGGGTGCTGGTGGGGGTCGGGGCGGAGGGGTGTGCCGTGCCGAAATGAAGGGGTCGGGGCGGAGGGGCGCACTGGCTGGTCGGTGCTGGTGGGTGGGTGGATGCGGGGGGGTGGTGGAGGGTCGCGCTGGCTGGTGAAATGTGTAGGTGATGAGGGGTGTGCCGTGCCGAAATAAAGTAGTCGGAGCTCTAGGCACCCTGTGCAAGAGGATAAAACCGTTTCCTACCGGTTGCGCCATAGGTTGCGCCCTCGGCGGCCGAGAATAAAGCCGTCTCCCACCGGTTGCGCCGTAGGTTGCGCCCGTGGCGGCCGAAAACGAAACCGTTGCGTGACGGGTGCGACCAGTCTCTTCAGTTCCGTTCGGTTCAGCTCAGCTCGTTTCAGATCGTCTGTCAGTTTACCTCGCGAAAAACGGATTCGGCCTACACGACAATCATTTCTAATCGTGCTCATTTCTAGCTGTCCTCGTTTCTAAGTGTTCCTGGCCCCCTAGTGGCCAGGAAGACGCCCAGGATGAAAGAATTAGAAATGAAAGGATCTTGGCCCCCCAAAAAATCAAGTCAAAAAATCAATGTGCACGCCGAAATCCGAAAAAAAAAAAAAAAAAAAAACCCACCCTGCCCTCCACCCTACCCTCAACCCCGGCCCGCCTTGGCGGCACGTGAGCGACGAAAGGGAGCGGGCCTTTTACGCGAGATGGCACGGCGGCCTTGTGCACGGTAGTTGCGTAGGTGGTGAAGTATGTAGTAGGTAGTAGGTAGTAGGTAGTAGGTAGTAGGTAGTAGGTAGTAGGTAGGTAGGTAGGTAGGTAGGTAGGTAGGTAGGTAGGTAGGTAGGTAGGTAGCTAGCTAGGTAAGTAGGTAGGTAGGTAGGTAGGTAGGTAGGTAGGTAGGTAGGTAGGTTAGTAGTAGTAGTAGTAGTAGTAGTAGTAGTAGTAGTAGTAGTAGTAGTTTGTTAGTAGTAGTTGTAGTTTAGTAGTAGTAGGGGTGGTGGTGGTGGTGGTGGTGGTGGTGTAGTAGTAGTAGTAGTAGTAGTAGTAGTTTAGTAGTTAGTAGTAGTAGTAGTAGTAGTAGTAGAGTAGAGAGTAGTAGAGTAGTAGTAAGTAGTAAGTAGTAGTAGTAGTAGTAGTAGTAGTAGTAGTAGTATAGTAGTAGTAGTAGGGTAGTAGTAGTAGTAGTAGTCGTAGTCGTCGTAGTAGTAGGAGTAGTACGTAGTAGTAGTAGTAGTAGAGTAGTAGTTAGTAGTTAGTAAGTAGTGATTACACTACCAGACCACCCCAACCCAACCCGAAGACCCGAATTTCGGGTTGGGGGGGGTAAGGGTTTCATCTGTGTTTTTTCAATGCTCCCCGACCCCCCCCCACTGGAAATGGAGGGCAAATTGAGGCCTTCGGGTTGGGTTGAGGTGGTTTGGTAGGTGGTGAAGTATGTAGTAGGTAGTAGGTAGTAGGTAGTAGGTAGTAGGTAGTAGGTAGTAGGTAGTAGGTAGTAGGTAGTAGGTAGTAGGTAGTAGGTAGTAGAGTGGTAGTTGTAGTAGTAGTAGTAGTAGTAGTAGTTTAGTAGTAGTAGAGTAGTAGTAGTTAGTCGTAGTAGTAGTAGTAGTAGTCGTTGTAGTCGTAGTCGTTAGTCGTAGTCGTAGTCGTAGTGTAGTCGTCGTAGTAGTAGAGTAGTAATAGTAGTAGCTAGTAGTATAAGTAGTAGTAGTAGTTGTAGTAGTTAGTAGTAGTAGTAGTAGTAGTAGTAGTAGTAGTAGTTAGTAGTTAGTAGTAGTATAGTAGTAGTAGTAGTTAGTAGTAGTAGTAGTAGTAGTAGTAGTAGGTGGTGGTGGTGTGGTGGTCAGTGAGTGTAGTTAGTAGTAGTTAGTAGTATTAGTAGTAGCTAGTAGTAGTTGTGAGTGTAGTAGTATGTTAGTTGTAGTAGTAGTAGTAGTAGTAGTAGTAGTAGTAGTAGTAGTTAGAGTAGTAGTGTAGTAGTAGTAGTAGTAGTTGTATTAGTAGTTATGAGTATAGTAGTAGTAGTAGTAGTCTAGTAGAGTAGTAGTAGTAGTAGTAGTAGTAGTAGTAGTAGTAGTAGTAGTAGTAGTAGTAGTAGTAGTAGTAGTAGTAGTAGTAGTAGTAGTAGTAGTAGTCGTCGTAGTCGTAGTCGTAGTCGTAGGAGTAGGAGTAGTAGTAGTAGTAGTAGTAGTAGTAGTAGTAGTAGTAGTAGTAGTAGTAGTAGTAGTCATAATAGTAATAGGAGGAAGAGGAGGAGGAATATGAGGAGAAGGAGGAGGAGGAGGAGGAGGAGGAGGAGGAGGAGGAGGAGGAGGAGGAGGAGGAGGAGGGGGGCAGGTGCTGAGCGCGACCGCGCGGCAGCAGGCCTCCTCGAAGGCCGGAGCGGTGGCGTTGAATCTGTCGACTGAGCCGCCGCTCGACAGGCGAGCCTCAGCGAAGGCAGGCGGGTGGGGGGTGGAGGAAGAGAAGGCGCAGCAAAAGCAGCATCGGGAGGCGGAGAGGCACGAAGCAGAGCAGGCGGAATCTGATGGTTCTGGGGATCAGGGTGCGCCAGAGAGTAAGGGCGAGAACGACAACGAGGGTGACGAATATGACGAGTATGACAAGGACTTGGGCAAGATGGTGAAGGTGAGGACGAGGATGGAAGAAGAGTGAAAAGGGGACTGCAGCTGGAGTGGGGAAGAAGGATGAGGGCTGCGGCTTCTTTTGATGCTACTACGGCGCCTTCTTTTTGTTTCGGCTCATCATCCTCCGCACCTGCTGATTTTCCTGATGATCCTCGCCATCACGTCTTCTATACAGTGCCCGTTGTCATCTCATCTCTCTTCTACGGTGCACGTTCCCTCACCTCTCTCCTACATTACCCTCACTAATTCCTCTAAATGTCCCGTATCCGGTTTCCCTGCTCCCTTCCTTCCTGCTCCCCTGCTCCCTTCCTTCTTCCCACCTCCTGTTCCTCCCTCCCTTCATCTCTCCCCCCCTCCCTTCCTAGCTATCCCATTTCCTCCATTCCTCCAATACGATGCTCCTCAGAATTCTCATACCTACTAGCAGTATTACCCTCCTCGCCTTCCTCTTCCACCTCCTCCTCATCATCTCCGTCGTCCTCATCGTCATCCTACTCCTCATAACCATCCTCCGAATCATTATTCCAATCCTCCTCCTCCTCCTCCTCCTCCTCCTCCTCCTCCTCCCCCTCATCATCATCATCAGCATCATCATCATCAGCATCATCATCAACAACATCATCATCAGCAGCATCATAATCATCATCATCGGCATCGTCATCATCGTTGTCATCATAACCTGCATCATCACCCTCATCTTCAGCATCATAATCAACATCACCATCACCATCATCATCACAATCATAATCATCATCAGATCATCATCATGAGCAGCAGCATCATCACCACCACCACCACTATATGTTTCATCCCTTCATCCTCCTCCTCCTCCTCATTTTCTTCAGTCCCTCTTCCCTCCCTTTACTTCATTTTCTATTCCCGCTCCTCCCGTCCTCGATCCTTTTATATCCCCATTGTCTGTTTGGCCTTCCTGCCATTCCGCCTGCATGCAATGTAGCGATAACTCCTTGTTGCCTTTTCCGGCATCGCCGTTATAACAATGTTATTCGGCATCCCCCTCTCTGGTTTTTTTCCCTCATTCTCGCTCTACTCTGTGGATCTCCCACATCCTCCTCAGCGCTCTTTGCGGAAGCTCCTCCTTAGAGAGCCTCTGGGGGCCTCACGGAAAATGTTCAAGCTTTCTCAAGGCCTTCTGGAGGCCTCCTGGGCGTCTTCTGGGGGCCAATGGGGGCTTCCTCTGGCCACCCTGCCTCCAACCGCAGTCTCCCTGAACGACCGGGTCACGATTTGGAATGCTTCGGAGGGCGTCTTGGGGCCATCTTGGGCCGCCATGGGGCTCTCTTAAGCCTTCTTTATTGGGGCTCTGAGGACTGCCTGGAAGCCCTCTCGGATGGTTGTGCTGCGATCTTCGAGCCTCCCAGGCGGTCTCGGACGCCCAGAAGACCAAAGAGCAGGGCCTACCCAAAAGCATGCGAACAACTTTGGACATCCATGCCTTCTGTGTTTTGCGGAAGCCTCTTGGTGCATCGATAGGGGTCCGCTGCCTGGGCCCAGCAAGGGCTTCCAGGAGCAGGAGGAGGAGGAGGAGGAGGAGGAGGAGGAGGAGGAGGAGGAGGGGACATGATGATGATGATGAGGAGGAGGAGGAGGAGAAGGAGGCGGAGGAAGAGGAGGAGGAGGGGAGAGGAGGAGGGGGGAGGAGGAGGAGGAGGAGGAGGAGGAGGAGGAGGAGGAGGAGGAGGAGGAGGAGGAGGAGGAGGCGGCGCGGCGAAGCGGTAACGGGCCGAGTCGAGCATAACTCCGACAAGACAGCAATCGAAACGAATTTCGAATTGTGCGACCTACCGTGCGCTAGTAGTACTGCGAGTGCAGGCCCCCGCGGCGGGAGCCCCGACTGATTGATCGCTCGACCAAGGCTGAACACGCGGCGAATTCAAGCACACCGCACTCCCTGCAGCGAGCCCCTAGTAGACGGAGCCGCCAGGGCCAGAACCCGTCAACTAAGACACCTGAAACAGGAAGGACGACGGCCCACTATCCAGAACACGGCCAGGAGTCCCACGGCCCGAAAGCGAGACTACCTGGGTCCACCAGTGGCCATTCGAACTAACTCCTTAAAACTGTACTGTCTCGGGGCGGAGGGAGGATGAGGAAGGGGAGCGGCAAGTCGGGACGGTCCCTGGCTCTCGAACTCGCCCTCAGAGGCAGCCCTTGGCGCAGGTGATCCCCTCCCTGTGTGGAGCCGACCCACGCCAGGGGTCGCAGCCACGTTCTGCCGCATTGACCCCGACACCGACGAGGTCGCACCAGTCGGAGTCGTCAACGCCACCAATGCCGTCGCACCAGTCGAAGGCGACAACGCCACCGACGCCGTCGCACCCGTCAGAGTAGACCCCGCCACCGACGCCGTCGCACCAGTCGAAGGCGACAACGCCACCGACTCAGTCGCACCCGTCAGAGTAGACCCCGTCATCGACTCCGTCGCACCTTTCAGAGCATCGAGTCCTCCCAATCGTCGATCGCTAGCAAGATCCGCTCGACGTTGGATCTCGGGGCCACTCCTGCTTTGATCTCGCCGCCCACCTGGACGACGCAATCCGTGAATATCTTTGTCAACTCCACGTCCGCGAGCGCGAACAGAGGCCTCGCGTTGCCCTCCTTGTGGCACTGGCTGATACGAAATCCGCGCACCAGCAGGCACATGTCCGTCATGCTGGTGATCTGATCGAGCTTGGTATTCGGCTGCTCCCACAATCCCTTGTTCCGAACTCCGACCTTCTCCCCTGCTTTGCTCAATGCGTCGGCAGTGACCAAGAACACCTGAACGTGAGCAGGGCACATCTCCGCCTCTGGCAGCAACTTGGAGTTGTCGAGCTTCCAGGACTCCTCTAAGATCACCGTCTGGTAGGTGGCCGACAGCATCTGCCTGATCATGAACGAGTTGCCAAGCGCTGCCTTGACCAGCACGGGCATGAGTTTCGCAACCATGGTCTGCGTCATCGCGGGCAGCTTCTCGAGCGCGTCGTCTGGCAGGCCGTGCGCTTTGCCCACCGCCATCTTCACGTCGATGGCGCTCCCCCCCGCCTCCGCCGAGGCGCCGCTCGCGGCGGCACCCGAAGCGGCCGCTGGCTGGCGCCGAGGTGGCCGACTGCCGCAGTCCGCCGCGCCAAGTCGCCCGTGTCTCCCTCCACGACCGCGGGAGGCAGCCACTGAGCCAGAGCGGTCTTGTCGCCCGTTGGCTCTCTCGCCTCGTCCTTGCGAGCGGCTGCGGGTCGCCGCCGCCTCGAGATCCTCTTCCTTCAGGCGTAACATCCCGAAAGTAGCGTGGGCGGCGTAGCTGACAGCACTGACGAATGTGGGCGTAGAGCAGATCACGATTAGCGAAAACCTCGGTACTTGAGCAAGCATACATGGCATCGTGGGCATTCAAACCATCCCTCCACAGTGACGCACGAGTTATCAGCGAAAAAGGGCGCGTGAGACTGTCTGGCTCGATCACGTCGTGCGCATACGGTGTAGCTCGTGGCGGGCATCTGTTGTGCAATACCGCCGTTACCGTGTGCTCCTGTGCTATGCGTCTCGTGCGGAAGCTCTGCCTGCAATATATGCACTCGTTCGTGATTGTCATGCTGTGCGCGATCGATCTGCAATTGTGCCCGCCAGCCTTCGAGAATCTCTGGTGTGCCAGTAGTGCCCGACGTGTAGTGAAAGTACGCGTGCAAGGAGCGCCCGTGGAGTCCTTGAGGTCACACGCCCAGAGAGGAGCAGGGGGGTCAGGTACATCAGCGCCCTCAGGAGCACCAGGAACCGTCCCGGGGGGTCCGTAGAGGCCAGGAGGTGGCGCGATGGCCACGGTACGAGCAGCAGCCCTGAGCACCCCAGGATCCAGACGAAGAAAACGTTCCCGAACGTCCTGGTCCATAAACAACGCACGGACGTTGAACCGAAACCTCTCGTCCCCCTCCGAGCCCATCAAGAGGTCCTCCAAGAGTCCCTCCTCCTCCTCAGACCTCTTCAACAACTTCACGACATCGACGACAAACCGCTGCGCATAAGCGTTCGCCTCCAAAGACAGACAGCCGTTCGCCAGGATCGTCGGCCCAGGGTCCACGGGAAGCTAGCCGAAAACGGATCCCAACTCCTGAGCATGGGTGCGTGGGACCAGAAGCCATCGCCTGTACATGCGTAGGCGCCTCACCATCAACTCAGTGCCTGCGGGAGCCACGCCAACACGCCTGAGGACGACCTCATCGGAGTCGGCCTTGTATCTGAGGATGGGCTTATCGTTGGAGTCACGGACGGGGTCCCCCTCGGAATCGACAACCTCGAGCTTTTTGCACGCGTCGCCTCCCAGGATCTTCCTAGCGAAACCAACGAGGACGCGATCGAGACGACGTTCTTGAGTGGGGGTCAGCACGAGCACCGTCAATCCAGATAGAAGAGCGCCCTGCACAACCGATCCAAACACAGTGCGGGTGAACCGCCATACCCTATTCTGCTTCCAGAAACGGCCCATACCGTAAAACCCCCTGCGGCATGCCACGATTCGCCTACGAAGTTCACTCTGCACTCCCCCGTTGACTGAGGTAGAGATCCCAAGAGCAATGTTGTCGAACTGCACGCGACCGTCGACGGGGATCCTGCCACTGAAGAGCTCCGACGAGTGACGATGTGCCCCAGGGCCCACGAAGGAAGGAGACACGCTGCTTTTCTCTGCATTGTGAGCGCACCCGCTGCAAGCCAGCTCATCGCGCAAGAAAAGGTGAGCACGAGATAGGGTATACTGGGCATTTCGTGCAGACGTGACGATATGAGTACGAGACGTATCGTCCGCATAGATTCGACAGGATAAATAAACAGGTCGCTGAAGAAAGGGCGTCCAGGCCGTGCACAGTGCTTCGCTGGGCCAGATCACACGATCAGGGTCGTCAGGCGGTACCGGTGGGACCAGCCGCTGCGAGACCCATTCCTCGTGAGTCTCAGGCCGAGGTGGAGCAGGCGCATCGCCCCAGGTGGCCTGTCGAAGCCGATCCAGCCATCGTTGGACAGGGCGTCGGAAGGTGCGAGCAAAGAACACCGCCGCGGGGCTGTCGCCCATGAAAGCCCCCACCTGGTTATGCAACGTCTGCTCGCCATCGGCCGCCTGGATCGTGAACGTCGCCAGCTCGCGCCGCCGGTGGAAGAAGGTAGAGTCTGGTCCTGCGGCAAGACGGCGTCGCACACCGTCTCCCGCAGCTCGCTGAAAGGCGCGCAGCCGAAAGCGTTCGACATGTCCTCCTTCGACGTGATCGTGGAGATGCCCCTGGCCCGCAGGCGAGCCAGAAGCGCCTCCTGGCAGATGATGGCCCCCTCGCGGTTCCTGCCTGGCAAGTAGCCGCGCTCGCGATCGGGCTCAGAGTCGACAGCTCCACGACGAAGGAGGGCCTTGTACCACATCACGCCCATGCGGCACAAGCCGTGAATATACCGCCTAGCACTGAAGCCTGCCTTGCCGTTGCACTTCGAGAGACCTGCGGCACGGGAATGATGCCAGACAATCGGGGTACGGCCAACACGTCGAACGTGATGACAAATCTTCTGGATAGCTTTCAGCGTCCCAGGGTTCTCAAAGGAAGGAGTGTCAGCACCCAGTCCGCGGCGGTCGCCAGCGAGTCGATGCCTCGGAGCGAAGTCGGCACGCTGAGCAGAAACTCCCTCCTCGCCGCCGTCGTCGTCGCCCTCCCCGTCCTGCTTCTTGCGTGGCTTCCTGTGGGAGCCGTCGAACCTGCGGTTGGGGTCGAGCGTGAGCATCAGCACCTCACACGGCACGCTATGGGCTGGCGCCGACTTCCTGCGCGGCGCGCGCTCGAGCAGCTCCGCCACTTCCCTCAAGTCGCCCCTCCCCTCCTCCACGTGCGCAAAGTTATCCAGTCCCAGCATCGGAGGTGGAGGAAGACGGGACAGCTGGTCCCTCTGGTAGGCGTCGAAGTCGACAGGCTCTGCTCGCAGACCGCCCTCGGGGCCAGGAAGAGAGAAGTACTGCTGCACTTCGTCGCGTCTCGGCACGAACTCCTCAGCAACGTTATACTTCCTGTGACGTGGGCCTCCGCACTTGCCTGCCAGTAAATGTGCAAGCCTCCATACCTCGGCGTGACGGCGCGCCTGCCAAGCCTCGCCGATCTCATGGACGAGCTCCTCCGTGGCCTCCTGCAGACGAGAGCGCCGTAGCACTCGAAGCCGTCGCGAGGCCCTCGCAAGGGCCATGCGCACCTGCTCGTCGTCGCCGTCCGCCTCTCGAATGCGACGCCGCTCAGCAAGGAGACGAGAGCGCTCCGCAGCAAAAGCCTGGGCGCGAGGGTTCACACCCGCATGCTTGCCGAAGTGCTCCTCCGCAACCCCGTAGACCGTGGTGATCCAGCGAGCCCACGCCTCATCTGGGGAGGAGGCCTGAAGACAGAGATCGTGATAGTCTGGACCAGCATCGAAGGCCCGCTCGAGATCGCGAACAAACTCCTGAACTCCAGTCCCGCGCCTGAGAGCCTGGGCCAAGCGGTCATAATCCCAGGACGTCTGTTCAACACGGGAGTGTGACATGTCGAACATATACTCAAGCCTCAAGAGCAAGGGAACGTGATCTTGCACTCCCTGTTTGCGGATCAACTTCAATCGCACACTCGAGCGAGTCAATGGCAAAACTTTCCTGACGTCGTCCGTCTGCCAGGCGAAGGTCGCGATAAAATCAATACAAGACGCAGACGAGGCGCCGAAATACGTGGGCCCCGTCGGGAAGTCGGTCGACACTGCCCGCACAGCGTGGCGCTCCATGACCTCGAGGACGCGGTCGCTGGCGTAGTGCTGTTCGGCGTTGCAGTGTCGTCCCAGTGCGGGTGAGCATACCCGAGCCTGGCCCCCGCCACGACGGCGCCAGCCGAACGAGTCGTTCAGGTCGAAGCCCCAGAGCAGACTAGCCCTGCGCGGAGTCCAGCACAGAACCTGTTCCAACCAACTGCACATCACATCAACAGTCTGCTGGTACTTCTGATGCGCCTCCGAGGTCACACTCTCCCTCGCATCTCGTCGAGCTGTCGGTCTCGGGGGAAAATAGGTAATCGGGATCACGATGTCGAAACGACCAGAGCGCAGGCGATGCAGGGCCACCCGCCCCCTCAAGTACTTGGGGACGGCCGGCGTGTCCACGAGATGCTTCATACGAAACTTAGACTTGCGAATCAGCAGCACCGTGCCGCACGATCTGTTCGAGTGACGGCTCGGCACATATCCAGAGTGGATGGCATAGTGATATCTCAGCGACGATCTTGTGGTGGCCTGATCTTGCGAGGCACGCTCGCCCGTACTGGTGAGGGCAATCAGGTCGATCGTCGCGAGCTCCTCGCTTATGTCGTTCAGCCTCAGCTCATCCGCCCTCATACAGTTCCAGTGAACAAACGTGAGCATCTGAAC